TTAACCCTTTCTCAGCGCCTAAAATGCCACGATACGACGATACTACTGCTCCTGCTTCCTTATAATACCAACAACTGTGTCGGTCCGCATATTTCATTTTGTGTCGTACTTGTCCGCTGGGTCCGCTGGCTGGGCCGGGTGGCTGCTCTTCTCCCATTATTTCATCTCGATAAGAATGTCGCGTTGCCGCCGCCGCCGCTGCCGGGACGGCTCGGCCGATCCGACGTATTTTATTCCGATCTCGTGACGGGCGCCTCTCGCTCGCTCGTGCGCCCCATTTATCTCAGGCGCTTGCTCGCGTCCCCTCGCGGTCTCCTCTCTCGCTCGCTCATAATGCACAGTAACGCAAGCGTTGACCGAAAATTTTGCGTTGTCAGCAGGTTTTTGCTCGATATACAACGATTTCTCTTTCTCCCTTTCTCCATATCAATCCTTCCCCCCCTTCCTCCGCCCCTCCCTTCCCCGGCACGTCTTTTACTCCGTCTCATCCCCTATCCCACTTCATCTCTCTCTCTCTCTCGCTCTCTCTCTCTCTCTCTCTCGCTGTAACGCCCTCCTCCCTCTCCCTCGGTGCACAAGCTGGAGCCGAGCGTTGCGTTACGCAGCGCGATCTGTCAATAAAATTGATAGCAGCAACGAGGAAAAAGCACAATCGGTGAAAGGTGACAACGATGTTCAGGCGCGCTCGTCCCGCTCACCCTCCAGCTACAGTAGCGGCGTCCCTCTCCCCTCTCCCCTAGCGTCTGTCTGTCTTTCTCTGTTGCTCAAAATGATGGTGTCTCTGTCTTGGCCCGTCAGAGTGTGGCGGGGGCGGCATAGGGACATGATGTGGGGATGGATTTGGCGTGACGTTCAACTGGGATTGGAACACACACATAGCGGGAGGGGGGGGGTATCGCCTGGAATACAGCCTTATTATCGAGGAGCTTGACAGCAGCGGCTGGCGGGGCGGGTCGCTCTTGATTTTTACACACAACCACCGTTCTCGCTTGTTACTTTTACGTGCCATCGTTCCCTATATACGCTTATGATGTAGGATTTTTGTTGCTCCCCAATTTATTTTATCTTTGTCGTGTGTGTGTGGCTCACGCCGCAGCGTTCTGCCTCCCCGCACACACGTCGCACCTTTCGCCCCCTTCGCTGCAGATAAGATCGCGGCCAGGCGCTCGCCTCGTGTGGGGGCCGTGGGGGCGCCGGCGGGATGGATGTGGCGAGATGAAGGGAGTCGCCCCGCCCCGCCCCGCCCCGCCTAGCCCAGCCCCCGTCTGCGTCATTACCGCGGTCAGATAGGGTGACCACGCGTCGGGGTGGGTCGGTGGACCCCTCCTCCCGGCACCTCGGCAGCAACAGCAGCAGAAGGGAATTCCCTCCCTAAAAACAAGGAAAACGTTTTCTAAAGCCTCCAAGAAGTATGGCCCCTTGCATCATGTGTATGTTTTTTCCCTCCGTTGGTTTTTTTTTTCGACCGTCCCTTTTTTTTTCTTTCTCGATTTCTTCTGGGAACGCGGACAGTCGTCGTCGTCCGCGTGCAGTTCGTCCGCGTCGTTCTCAAAGTCGTTTGCGCCGAGTGGAGGGGGATGCCATGCATCGAGAGGGAGGACGAGGCGGCTCCCAAAGTAAACACAATGTCTTTGACTCATTTCCGCAGCGGGGTGGCGGAGTATGGTTGACAGACAGCGATCGCCACCAGAAGGGCAGCCGCGCCGGGCACATGGCCTTTACGAGGCCCGCCTGCTGCTGCCGCTGCAAGATCTGTGTGGCGCCGTCGTTAAAGAATTACAGTTTTAGGCGGACTGCAGAGCTGGGGAAATAAAAAAGAATGAAAAAGGACCGTCTGGCGTCGATTGAGCTGCTGATGCGGGACACTCACGCAAGTCGTCATGTGTGGAGGCGGGAGCCGGGGTGCTTGTTCCATGTAGAAGTTTAGTAGCCACTATCGTCTGCGAGCAGACAAAGTTTCCTCATGTGTGCGCCATCGTCGTTCCCAAACTGTTCCGATGGGAACGAGTCGAATTATTTTCCGCGAGAAGACGCTGACCGGGGCCCTTGGTGTTGGTGATCCTCGCTTCCTTAGTAGGATTCTTCATAAATGTAAATAAGTTGTGAAACATAAAATGCCTCCTCTGTGGCTGTGGCTGGTGCCAGGCTGCACGCTCCAACTGTCATCAATCGTACACTTAACTTTCCTTTTTCATATTTCCCACCTTTACCTGCTTTTTCTGCGTCTCGCAATGGAATTTGGATTGACTCCGCTGCTGCTGCGAGTGTCGCCGTCACCGCCGCTTGAGAGAAAGGAGAACATGTATGACGCAAGGCGTTGGGAATACAAGGAAGGTCGAGAGGTGAGAAGGGTGCAGCAAATAGGAAGTTTTGATCTCTCAAGCAAAATAATTTGCACCAGGTAGAAACAGGTTTCTTGAGATGTCTGTCAACCATAACGTTTTGCTGTGGGGCCAAAAACTTTTTTCACGTCAGCTACTGCCCCGCTCTACCTACCCACCCTTTGACAGAAGCACCCCTGCCCCTTCCCCCGGCGGGGAGACGCTGGATCAGAACAAAAGGATGACGGACAGATAGAGAGCAGAGTACGGTGAAGCCAATCCCTTTCTCTTTGCACCCGTGCTCGCGCCCCCCGGGTGCCCTCCCCGAGTCGGTGGTGCTCTCTGCTGGCGGGCTCCTAATGGTGGAGGAAAAGGCTTTTCCTGACACGCCACGGCACTCCTCGCACACAGGGGCCTTATCGGCTTGTGGGCGCGGGAAGAGAGAGAGAGAGAGAGAGAGAGAGAGAGAGAGAGAGAGACGTGCGCGCCGGGATCTTGCACAAAAGCCAGTGGCCTGTACAGTACAGTTCCACAAAGACTTTGGTGCAGCGGTAGGCGGCAGTAGGCCTCTCTCCGTCAGGCTCCCGCTATCGGCGGCACACCTTGGGCACGCGATCCTGGGGGCCGCACTCCAAACAACCGCGCCACTCGCTCCAGAGGATGCCGATCAAAGTGCGTCCTCGACCGTCGAGGCTCGACGTGTGGGAGGCGAGCCATCTCCGAACTTCGTTTCGCAGCACGTCTTTGCGCTTTCTTTTTTGCACATTTTTTGAAGAAAAAATTTCTGCTGTCTACGCAGGGCTGTCTATCGACGGCCGAGCAGGCGTGTGATGATGGCTGATGGCAGCGTAATTTCGCGGGGCTTCCGTCCGCCACGGTGGCATGGACTCTGGGCTGGGGGGACGCGCTCCCACCCCAATCACTAGTATGGCGCCGTGCTGCGGTTTGACTGCTTCCCCTTGGCTAGGGCCGACAACCGCGGCCGCGGCCACGACGGTGACACACACACACATCGGGCGTGTTTACTTCCGACGTCGTCAGGCCTCCGCCCGCACTCCACTCTCCGCGGCTGGGCTCGCCTCGCCCTGCTTTTGCGCCATCATCCGTTATACGCGCTGCCTTTGGCGGAGTGTTATTCGCGTAGCCTAGTTCACCGGCGCGCCATATCTCTCTCTCTCTCTCTCTCTCTCTCTCTCTCTCTCTCTCTCTCTCTCTCTCTCTCTCTCTCGTCAAGGCCAGCGCCGTGCCATCCATCGTTGTAAATCACGCGCGTACGTCGCGGCCCCGTGAGCCGTCCCGCCGCCCTCTCATTGGCGCCGTCTCGCTAATCGAAAACAAACGCGGTCAAGATATATACGACGGACGAGATCCTACTTTGCTCTCCTCACTAAAGGATGTGCTGGCACGCGCATTTATCGTGGAAAAGGAGTAGAACATTTAAAACGTGGTGTATCTTGAAGTTTTTGAATATTTCTCTAAAAATTTATAGCAGTATTTTCCCCCGCATTCCTAAGTTTTCAATTCAGAGCACGTCTTTTTCGACTGCCGTCGTGGTAACTCAACGCCAGGAAGTGGAACAATAACTTGATGTAAACACGGCGTCGGTTGTGGAATTGTTTCGGCGGCGGCGAACGGGTTGCGCTGAGTGGCGCGCGGAAAACCCCGCCTAGGACGGAACATGTTGTTGCGGACAGGCGGGCGACAGAGCTGCCGGCAAACTCTGCCAACATAACACTCTACCCTGGCCGCAGGTCGGCAGGCGGTGGCGAGGCAGGGTCGGGGTAGCGGGCGCTGTCCGTCCGACACACACGGCTCACCTGACCTCGCACAAACAGTGGGGCCCGGATATTAAGCGCGCTACTGAGCCGCGCCCCGCCACGTCACCTGACCCGTGTCCCGGAGGCAGGCGCTGTTATTATATTTTGTGTGAAATTAAGGTACTTTGCTTTCTCGCTGACGCTTTTGTCTACGCTTCTACCCCCCCCCCCCTCTCTCTCTCTCTCTCTCTCTCTCTCTCTCTCTCTCTCTCTCTCTCTCTCTCTCTCTCTCTCTCTCTCTCTCTCTCTCTCTCTCTCTCTCTCTCTGTACGCTTTCAGGAAACTTTAACAACCGCAGCGTGTGACGCAAAATTTATGTTGGTGCCTTGTTTGGTTGAGATTTGTTGTTTGTGACGCTTGGTCGAGGCGAATGACAGAGAATCGGAGCGTGCGCGAGCTTCCATTTTTTTACACCAGAAAAAGTCGCGCGTCTCCGTGGGGCTCCGCGATATGGAAGAACCGTCCTGTCCCCCCGCGCCCTCTCTCTTTCTCTCCTCATGCATATCGTTTTGCCCTTGTCGCACATGCGATGCGAGGAATCATCACCCGTATCTGTCATGGCTCCATCTCGCTTTATCTGACATGGGGAATTTCATTCTTCTCTTTCCCTTTTCCCGCCGGCAGAATGGGGATGAGGGCCATGCCTCATGTGGAGTGCGTTTGTCTCTATCAAATTCCCCCCAAACAGGCGCGGGGGGTTTGTCAAAAAATATATTCCCTTCTCTCTGCGTGCTCTGACGCTGCTCGTTACGTGAGAAATTGTTTTCCAGCCGGAAAACGAATCTCTCTCTCTCTCTGTCCCACTCACGCTGTCCTCGTCGACTTCACTAACGCGCCTCTTCGTCACTCTTTCTGCCTACAGATTGTCTCCACCTGCAGCTCTACCGAGACAGCAAGGACCGCTGCAAGCTGGGCCACACCAAGGCGTCGCTGTCGTTGCAGCACTTCCTGGGAGTTGAGACTGGTGAGTGCACGTGACCGTTACTCGTTAAAACTTTAAAAGCGAAGTAGTGTGTTTTTTATTATTTTACAATTTAGTTGAGCTGGAACACGCTTAGCCGGTACTCGGAAATGAAATAATAAGTATGTAAATGAAATACCCCTCTGGTACCAAGTTTCTAGGGTGTGTGTTGTAAAATTACAACTTCAAATCGTAAACTTACAAGCACTATGTATCGACTTGGACTTCATTGACGCGGGCAAGACTGGGCAGTCGTACATTCCTAACAGATTTTGCAAATCGCGAATACATAAAATATGTTGGCAATACGAAGCTAATGTTGACAGTGTTGGCGGTGGGGAGCCAGGGCAGCCGCCTGCCACCGCGGCCCTGCCGTCCCGCTACGCGCGGCTGCCGTGGCGCTGCCTACCCTCCCGGCGCTCGGCCGGCCCGCGGCTCGCTGCGCGGAGCTGGGAGCCCGCTCGCTCAGCTCCAGCGGACTGCTGGCCCCCCGCTCTCGGCCCGCCCCGAAAATGGACTAACTTTCTCGATTATGCTTTCATAATTATTTCCACTCTTATTACAACATTACAAACTTCTTAATTCCTGGTCGTATCCGTAATTCGCATAGAAGGTCTTTCGTAAATTTTTAGCAGATGATACCTTACAAACTTAAACTTACTTACACTTAACATACATATAACTATACATGAGTAATGTAAGGTGTCATTGCTTTTACTCTCGATTAAGAAATATTAAGGCGGTAGGAGCGAAAAAATTTTTATTTCAGAAATCGGTAGTGTATGTTACTACAACACACCACCTCGAACCGTTTTGCTCTCCGACGCTTAGTTTCGGCGTCGCGACGCCTCAAAGTTCGAAATTTTACCGACTTTGGGCGTAA